AATAAGTGAAGGCAAAAAAATCAGGACGCTTGGATCGCCGGATAACTACAATCTGGCGTAAAGTAGACATTAATTAATATAACAGGCTTCAAAATTGGGATGAGTAGAGTAGATAAACGAAAATACTGTAGGTCGGTTTTAGGGTGTCGCTTACTTTCCATCACACGGGCACAGAGTTCAGCACCGATGCCGCATGAGGGCCAGGCACGATCGACGGTGACAAGTCGATGGGTCTTCTTAACTGAATTTAAGATTGTTTCGTCATCTATTGGCCGTAGGCTGCGCATATTTATAACCTCTGCGCTGACGCCCATTTTAGCGAGCTCATCGGCAGCTTGTAGACAGTCACCCACGCTGATGGAATACGAGACAATGGTGATATCAGTACCTGGAAAAGAGAGGTAGCCAATCCATTAAGCAGCGGCAGGGCGTGCTAGAGATATCGATAAAGGCATCAGTAGACTAGTCAATTTGTAAGAAACCGACATCAGCTATTACTAGGAGGAGTGACGTATGTTCAAAAGCGGAATTTGAACAATGCGGAACGGTCTGTAGGCAATTGCCATGTCGTAATTTTTGTGGGCAAATAATTTTTTTTTATTTTCCTCTCCTTTTGGTATTCGTGATAGTAAAAGACGAGAGCGAAATCTCACATACAAAGGAAAATACATGTAAATTATTAAAAGTTGCGAGGCTTACCCTCTCTCTCGATTTTGGCTTTTCCTATTGGTATAAGGAAGTCAGGAGACATCGCCTCGTCGGAGACGTCGAAGGGAACGGAATACATGAGTTCGTTCTCCAGAATGACGACTAAAACCAAATATGCATGGGAAACATTTTCAGCGGTTTTTTGGTAAGCATATTGCGAATCCAAATAAGAACTTGTTGGTATAATAATCAAAGCAGTTACATACTCCCGACTATCAGAATATGGAATAGGATTTGCAAGCGGCTACAACTACGGACCTGAACATCTAAGCGAAGGAAAGAGCAATCCCCCTAAGCAGGATGCGTACAAAGCAGTTATTTTGTGGTATGTTAGGAGAAGGACTTCAAGTCCGTTGAAAAAAACGAATATTAATTTCGGTTGACTTGTAATTCGAAGTCCCTATGGCGAACTGCTCCAGTGAGTAAATTGCGTTACTGCGGAAAAAAATACAGCAAATCCCGACTAGCCAGTTGTACAAGAGGACATCAGAGGCAAATAAAAACCACAACTACAGACCGAAAAACAACACCTTGCACCCAAACGACTTCTAGGGGAAATTACATACTGATTGTGGTTGTCTGTCTGAAGTAGTTCGCCAAAAAACGAACCTGGATCGGGGTCACGGACGGCTGTTTTTAGCAAGCCTCGAGCATCCTCACTGCTGTATGGGGAAAGGACTTTGAGACCAGGGCAGCCTGCGTACCAAGGGGCGTAATCCTGACTGTGTTGTGCAGCAACGCCGGATGCGGCACCATTTGGTCCACGAAAAACGACAGGAACGCTGACCTACGCGTGGTCAAAAGAATTTAGGATTTCTTATAAGCTCAGAAAGGGACACTAGCATGCAGGCTAGGAAGGAGAGGTAAGTGACGACCAATACAGAGAAATGTGTCCCACAACTTTATAAAGTGGCACTTTTTTACTCCCGAGTTTTGTTGTGAGTTATTCTAGCACGGACACTATACAGGAGAAATTCCAACTTAACATAAAACATCCATCCGAAAGAAATGAACGTGGAGTGGAGACGAACATGCTGCGCTGGAATGGCTTGTACTTCGGATTCATAGTCTACAAGGATACCGTGCTAATTATCAAGTTTTTATAACTTGATCCATACATAGGTAATCATTGGTCTTTTGGAAATAGTTGACTCCGAACAATCTGTGCATGCAGTAAGTGAATGTAACCATTGTGCGACTCGCCAGACTTCGAAAACTCGCGCACTATTTACGAACGGCGACGTGTGTAGTCGTAAGCACGAGTTCGGATGACGGCATCATTTCTAATCAGACCTTAATGTTCTCTTAAGTTAAGAGCATGCAGCCGCGTTGAAACGACAGCGAGCATGGAAGAGGGTGACGGAAGCATTCCTTATAACGGACAGACCAACAAGACTGTAATACCCAAAAAGCAAAGTATTTCAAAAAATCTAGGTCTAGAGCGAGCGCCGGAGCATGATCGCTGCCAGAATTAGGGAGCTGTTCCTTTTTCTATCGTCATAATTAGGCATCAAAAATTTTACTCAGATTTCCCTCTAAAATCCGACTAAACCAAGAGATAAATAGGGCATACCTTTCCCGCTGACATGTAGTGAGTCTTGGCGGCGGAATTGATAATTTGATCAATTGCTTGCATGGCGAAATTAAATGTCATGAATTCGCAGATGGGCTTCGCACCAGCCATGGCGGCGCCAACGGCAATACCGGCAAATCCCATCTAGAAAATTGAAAAGGTGTTGATCCCGAGTTACCTCGGTAATTGGTGTATCAATAACCCGGTCGTCACCAAAAGTTTTCCACAAATTTTTTGTGACCTAAACATAATGAAGAAGAAGAGCAATTACTTTGTATGCACCGTCGTATTGAGCAACTTCTTCGCCAAGAATAAACACTGACTTATCGCGCTCTAACTCCTCTTTCAAAGCGCTATTCAAGGCATCTCGCACGGTCATTTTTGTGGCGAGCAACGAGTGGGTGGTGGAGAGTGTTCGGACATTTTGA